ATGAAACCTGGAGAATCTAAATAAATTACTATTAATTCAATCTTGAAAGCATTCTAAAAAACAAATATTCTTTCCTTTTTTTTTCACACCTTCAATCATTTCACACCTTCAGTCATTCAATCACACGGTTCTTTTACAGAGTTAAGAACCAAATAGAGCCTGTATACAGATAATATAATAAAAAGCATGCTGCTGTGTTACAACTGGAACTTACAGAGTGATAATGGAGATAGCTGCTGAATCATTAATAAAACGAAAGCAGAGCGTAAGGCAATACTTTTGTAATTAAATTTACTTCAGGAGCAGCATGTTCTCTTAGATGCTATTGATATGCTTTAAATTATTCTCTCATTTAAATGCCAAAAAAAAAAAAAAAAAAGAAGCGTTGCATGGAGCATGGAGTGTTAAAGAGGAACAGGGAAAGTTTACATTCAAAATATATGTTTAGCCTGAACTGCTAGTAAAGCTTCTACTCTGTGTACCCTCAAAATAACATTATTAGAATCAGTACATCCTCCTCAATAACCACTCAGTTATCACTGGAATATAATTCAAACACTAATAAACTGATATAATATCTTCAATGCTTAACTAGAAGTAATTTTTAAATTGATAGAAAAGTGTGAATTTTTTTTTTTTTTTAAAGAGAGAAAAATGAGTGTCTAAGGGAAAAAGTATCTTTATGCCATTCCTCCAGTGTGTGTTCCAAGCTTTCCTATACTTAAACTGAATATGTTCCCTATTAAGGTCAGTTTAAAGACTGCAGTTCTGATATTCTTTCCGTGACTTAGTTTACTGATCACAGTATGGCAGTCTAATTTGAGAACTGATATTATTTAAAATGTACTTCATGATTTTGGTCTAATCTGATTAGATTATCTGATCAAGTAAGAAAGCATCTCCAAATTAAAACTTCTAAATGAAAGTGTGGTCCTGTGAAAGAGGCATTTATGCAACTATCATGCTCAGTGGAACATTAGGTAATACCCTCAAGGGGGCCTATGAGCACCTTTATACAAAGCACTTTAAGTTACCTTCACAGTTTCCAAAAATTCACATACCTTGAAATATTTTTCTTGCTCCAAGGTCTGGCTTCCCATAGTTGGGCCAAAACTGTGCAGATCTCCATTCAGTATTATTCCTGGGTATCCTAGGGAATGCATGGAGATGGATGCTCACCTCTCGGCAACTGGGAGCGTCATTTGACTTGAGTAACACCTTTGACAACACTGAACATTTTGATCTGGGGTGAAGTTTTAGATAACTATATAATTGTGTTGTACTGGCACAGCAGAGCCATGCATGAGGCTGTTGGGCATTACATGGGACAGAAGGGAAATATATGCTATTCCAAGGTAAGAACTGGAGATAGGCTAGCATAACCTGGGGCATTTCAGACACTGCTAATCAGCATCATTTAGGCAACACAATGGTTCTGGTTCTCTGTTAGATCTGACGACAGCTTCCACATCTAAAGAGCTCTTCAGTTTGCTATACAGATGCATCTAGCTTATTTAAGAAGATTTAAAAATAGCTGCTGGAAGTTATTAAAAAATACTTAGGGAGGCCAGTGCGTTTCCGGAGCAACAATTTGAAGCCAGTCAGGTTACTATAACCTTTAGAAGCTATAAGATTCAGTACTTATGTTTGGATAACTAAATAGAGTTCCTAAGGCAGAATAAACATCTTCATAGGAAAATACAGGGGACACACAGAGAGCAAGACCCTACAAGAAGACTCGTGTTACATCCATGCAGAATAGCCTAAAACATCTCAAAGAACACTGGGTGTTTAAGTGCAGGCAAAGGAATCAAGTCATAGATGTTTATATTTGAAATATTATTATTCACTTGTTCTAAGCACACAGAGCCATCTAAAGGAAATCTAAAATAAATTAGTTGAATTATGCCTTTGTGAGCCTCACAGTCACTTTTTACTTAAGGGAAAACACTTTATTATCTCATGTCTGCACATGTAAAAATGGGTGAGATGAATCTTGTTTTTAGTGTGAATGAGATATCATATGCAGAAATGTTGCCAGGTTATGATTTATTTCCACCCCTGTGGTTGGTTATTAGTTGCACTAAAACCTCCATGTAAGTAAATGTTGAAATACATTACCAGTACATAAAACACTTCAGTGAAGGAATTAGGTTAACTATGTTCTTGCTACATTCTTGTAAGAAATGTGGTTTTATTTTTCATCTGAGTTATATGAAGACAGTTTAAGACACTAATGAAAAGACAGACCTTGATGAGTTTAAGGAAAGAATGAAATACATGCTTCTCTCAGAAAGGTAAGAGGAATGAGCATATTTGTGAGAAAAAAGGAGCAGTAACCACAGAAAAAGAATCATGCTGACTGCTAATTTTGAGAATGGAGAGAGAAGTTATAATAAATGCAGGGGAATCAGTGCTCAGTGATAAGGAGCAAGGACTGGATAATGTCATGTCTGAGACAACATTTTGTAGAGGTGTATTTGACAAGACCAACTCAGTAGCTAAATTCATGTAAGAAGAAACATTGAAGATTTAGTAGCAGGAATAAATGTTAATGTACAGTATGGATCGCTTATATTTTATGGCTTATATTTTTTCTTCAGCTTTTCTTTTGTTGTAAAGCCCTCTTGCAAATTATTTGGGAAATAGACTTGCCAATTGTGATTTTCTGCATAAACATGCAATTTCAGTTCTCATTTTACATTTTTTTCATAAATTTACTTCTGCTGATGAATTTGCCTGAGCTGAACATCTTTAATATTATTTCTGTAAAAGTTCTTATACAAAATAGACTAAATTAAATGATTAGTTGTCTCCAATTACTTCAACTGCACTTTCTTTGGAGAATTTATTTGAAATTGTTACAAAGTGGCACTTGAATTTCTTTTCAGATGTAGTTTTTAATTTCAATAAATTGCATTTCTTCAAATAATTTTGAAAGGAGAATCTTGTTCTTTTTTCTGTAATTTGTTATCATATATTGTGAATTTTTTTTAAGATTTTTGAGAATGTTATAAAGTAAAAATATGTTTTAAGTAGGGCATTTCAACAGAAGTAGAGGTTTGACTAGTCCTTAGAGAATTATAATGGGAGAATCATTGGAAATAGAAAATATTGATGGTTTTAAACGATTAAGGATCCTGGACCGAGAGGAAGAAAACCTTAATGCTTTTCAGAATTGCTGGTCCTTTATTTTTGTTTTACTCTTCTGTTGAAATCGCATTCAAAATAAAGCAACTCATGTATGAATCGATATGCTTCCTGTATATAAACTAATACACTTATAATACTAAAGCGTATAGGAAGACAACAATCCAAAGATATGTTTTTAAAGACATTTTTCTTTCATATTTCCATTCTAAAACTATGAACTGTTACTAAAGTCATTCTATGGGAGTTCTATGTAAAATCTCAAAAATGTTATTTTTAACCTTTGCCCTTCTGTTTTCACCCATTCATGCATTAATGAAGCACTGATGCCTCACTCATGATGAGCACACTGGTGCTGCAGTGCCATGCTATGGAGCACAAGAGCTTGGAGAAGTTTGGAGTTCCATTCTGTTATCTTGTAGGTAGTATCAGATTTACATAATGCCCTGACTTCCACCTTGCTGACATTTTGCTTGTCAAAGGCCAAGACCACATCTGTCTGAAGACATATCCTAACACACAGCTTAGTAATGCTGCCCAAACATCAGCCAAAACCCATTTCTATCTCAGCATGGATGTCTAAAAAAGAAATTACTTCTTCAGGTGTAATGACTAAAATTTACTTCAAATAGCATACCAGAAGAAAAATGCATGGAAAATCTCTTATTTATTTTACTATCAGGGTTCTTGGAAATCCTAATCATACTGTGCTGCAAGTTATAAGTGTGGACATGCTTCCATAGTCCTAATGTACATCTCTTCATCCAGACCATGGAAAAGGGACAGAGAGCTCTCTGTATTTTCATAAGAAACAGGTTGCACACCAGTTCCCATCCCAGCAGAGGCTACAGCAGAATCAGCCTAACAATACCAAACTCATCTATTGCCTGTGATTCTTTGTATTCTTGGCATTGTTTTTTGTTTCAAATTATGTACTGAGTAGCCCAAAGGGGATTAGCAATTGGACACTAGATATATGTTTTCTTAGGTTTCTAGTGACTGAATAGCTCTGTCTTTTTGATGGCACAGTAAATTGCATAAGGATATTTTAATAATAGGAGCCTGAAATATAAGATACATAAAATTCTTCCTTTCATTCTCAGTAAATATATATTCAGAAAAAAAAGCAAACAAAGAGATCAAAGCAGGAAACCCCTCCTCACCACATACTTTAAATATGTTTCATTGTATCAGATTATATCTATAAAGAAATAACTTAATAAATAAATATTCTGACACATTTGTCACTCATAGTAAGTAACTGATAAACCCCCTTGGGGATCAACAACATTGAAGTGGTTGTCTAGTTTCAGTCACTTGGTGAGAGGGGAGAAAAAAAAAGCCTCAGAAAGACTTATTCTTTTCAAGAATTTCCTTTCTTCTATTGATTCTAAGAAGGTATTTTTGCTCAATGTGTCGGCTTCTTTTAGGACGGTTTCAGGAATTAATTACTTAAAAGATATTTCAATTTATTTCATACTACTATTATCTGGTGTGAATAAAGATCTATCTTTCTTTACTGCAGGGCAAGAGAAATGAAAGCTCTATAACCATTTTGAGTTTGTTTGCAAGTCATATAGTAACAGGACATTTTTCAGTCTACCGGGAGACAAACAATCTGCTCATATTCCTGGTAAAGGAACAGAATGATCTTTAGGAACTCCTGGGTTACCATGGATACCATGTATTCTAAGTCACATTGTTTCTGAATTAAAAATCAGTTTTCAAAATTGTTAAACATAACAGAAGCACAGGTTTTGTCTTTTGGATTGTTATAATATTCCTCATTTTTTTCTGCCATAAAAGAAAGGCATAGTAATACTAAAGGTAGGAAAAAAATTGCTACTCACCAGCAGTCATTTACAACTTGGCTCTTCATCAGCTGAGCTGTCTTCTTTAGTTGCTGAGTGATAATGATTTCATTTTATGCAATTTTACTTTGGACTACTGAAGGTTACTATGGAAACCTCAACTCTTTTTCCCTCTTCACATTCTTTGAACAGGTAGTAAGTCTTGCTATGTCGGGGAAGTGGCATTGAAAGATTTCTTGAAAATCAGCTCCAAATTGCTTTTGCCATTCATAAGTCAATGTGAAACTAAGATTTTTCAGACAGTCTGGTAGAAGAACAAAATATTTAAAAAAACATAAAAAGTTTGACTCTTTAATATCTGCCAAACTTTTACTTTTTGACTCACTGAAATGTCATTTTTGCTTGATTAGAATAGTGAATATAAATGATTCCAGCATTAATCAACATAATATAGTGGTGCAGGATTTATTCCGGCATGATTGCTCTTGTTTTCAGTTTGTAAAAATTTTTCAACCCTGGAACAGAAAAAGCTTTATTATTTTCTTTTGATTCTTCTGCATAAATCATGTTAAATTAATTTTTAAAACACAAACAGTGGATAGAGTTAGATAGCTTCAGCACCTCCAATTTACTTCTAACATTGTCATTAGTTTTTGATCCAGAATTCACAATGTCTAATCAGAACATCTGTGGTAGGTAAGGGACAGGCGAACGGAAGATTTCGGGGTGTGACGGAAAGATAGACCCATCCCCCTCTCTGCCTCTCTTCCCCACTTATCTATTGACTCCAGAAGCCTCAGAGGAATGCAGCCACACCGGCCCAAGTAAAATTCCACTACCCACTATCCCCTGAGACCCCCAGCCCCCCTCTGACGAAGCAAAGTCTCCCAAGACTATTTAAACCCATGAGATAAGATAATAAACGCTTTCGACCGTCCACCATATTGGTGTCAGCGTGTGTCGTTAGTCCGAGTAGCCCGGGTGAGGCCGGGCTGCCGTGCTGTCTTCTTGTAACCAGGTCGCCGTTGTCTCTCATAAAGGCAACAAACATCTAAGTGGGTTTCTAATTTGTCTCAACCTAAAATTCAGTTCATAATTTAGACTATTTAAGCATTTACATTCAGGCCAGCCTGTAATTTGGCCATCAAATAATTTAATTATTTATATATTAAAATCTAGTTCGGTGCCCTTTCTCTAAGCAAGCAAGGCAGCTATTGATCTTGGACTCTTATTTGTTTTTATTTATTTTTTAGTCATGCAGAAAAAAAAAATTCTATAATTTTGCTTCTTGTCTAGATTCTTTTGAGTCTTACTTTTTGCTTGGGTTTATCTGCTTGGATTGGAAAACTTTCAATATCAAAATTAAACAACACAGAAACAAAGCCAGTAACAAATCTTTAACAGTAATTTCTATATGAATTTTGACTGCCAGGATTTAATTTAGTATTTTAAAAATATTTTAATTAGGCACTAATAAATACTTGACTTTTTAATTTGCATTCAAAATGGAATTGAAGGTCAGAAGAGACCAGAGCCTCCTTTGCCAAGACCAGATGTCACATTGTTTGTATCTCAAATTTACTTGAGCAATATCCAAATATAAATAATTTTGTTTTATTACATCATAAACTTCTCCTTCTTCACCAAAATCAACAAACACTACATTCAAATATATGTCTTATGTTTTCTGCTCATTCCGTCTAGTATGACAAATGTATAATTTTTGTTAATATTGGAATGACAGTTTTTTGCATGGGCATTCAGATTTGTGGGAGTTTTATGAGACGTGAAAATTCCAGACAACTTTATCTCCACTTTTTTTTTTCCAATTTTATTGAAAGTACAATTTCAAAATCAATATAAATCATTATCTTCTATATTTAAGTAGTTTCTATTTTCCCCTTTTTGACCTGCAAGAAAACCAAATCCTGACATGTACACAGGCAAACATGCTCTTTCTCTAATGTTCATTCGATTTCCTCTTTCATTACCTCTTTTTTTTTTTTTTTTTATGGTTTGCTTTTTAAAAGACATCTAGATATCATAATTTAAAACTTTGTAACCAAAACCAGTAGAATGGTCCTCTTTGTTTTGTATTTTTTCCCATACCCCAAATAAATTCTGGTATGGCATCTACTCTTAGAAGTTGAAAAAAAGTACATACATGGTAGGTCAAGTTCTCTAAAATGATTAATGCTTTGAGAAGTACACCACAACACATCAACACAATTCACATGACACATAAAAAGCCTTGCAAGAGCACTGCTGCCTCAAGTTTCCTGACTTTTGATTATTAGCTATAAAATGTTATAAGATATTTTATTTAAAGGAAGTTCTAAGATTTTATTTGTGTTTTTAGAACAGATAAAAGCACATTCAGTCATGAATTTAAGAAGCACTGTTATATGAAGAATAATGTAAGTATTACATCAATGATACTAACACTGTAGGCAATAAAAACTAGTGGACTTCACAGTAGCAACATAACGGTTACAATTGTAGTTGATGATCTGAAATTATCTATAATTATATTAAAAAAACTTATTTTACTGGATTTTGTATATTATCAAGTGTCCCATCAGCCCCCCTACCCCACCAACTCTTGTATGTTTACATAGTCATATACAAATCAATTAAATTTAAAAAAGTAGGTCTAAGAAATCTGAGAAGATAAAAGACTTTGAGATGTTGGAATTTTGGTCTAAAAAGCCTAGTTATTTACATTTAACCCTTGTCACACTTCAAAATAATTTCCACATATTGGAATGTTGTCTGAAAATATATCATATAGCCTAAATTAATTCACTTAGAATTGAAGCTGAGGAAGAAGACAACTGTGAGATGTGGAGAAAAATCATAATAAGATCAGATCTTCATTAAACTCAGGATTTATGTGACAGATTCCTCGACAGTCAAAGTTGTCATAACCAATAATGTTTTGCCTGTTTTTTTTTTAATAATAGTGAAATAATTTAGTTGATACCATCTGTATTCAATAGATTCTAGCCAATACCAGTAGGTGCAGCAACAGGTAATCAATATTATCTACAATATTTTGTTCCTGTAAGCATAAATATTTTTAGTAATTTTGAATACCATAAGATAGGTGTTACAGCATTTTTGAGAGAAAGAGGGCATGAATTGTGAAAGTTGAGCTACTCCAGGCTAGGCCTCAGATTGAGGCCTGGTGGGGCCCTCAAAGCCTCTGACGCAGTTAGAAATTCAGGGTTGTGGCGCAGATAGAAAATAGTCTTAAGGTACTGTAGGGACCACGGGGTGTGAACTAGTATAGGCTTTATGGTGTACTGTGCAGGCCGTTTTAAGGAAAAGGTAAACAATGTTAGCCTACCAATCAGAGTGTCTTTGTTTCTGTAAACTATATAGAAGCTTATATAAACTACCGCCTGATTTTGAATAAACGGAAAACGCTTGATGAACCACATTGGTTTGAACCTGCGTTTGTCTTGTCCAGCTTTCCGTTTTTCTGAGATTCCCTGGCTTTAAGTGGCGCCCGGACCAGGGACTCAGGAGGCTCCGAGAAGGCTGCCAAATTACTTTTAGAGTAACGGGCAGTCAGGTTTGAGTCGCGCGACAGGAATTTAGGTCCAAATCGCCTCATGGTGACGGGACCGGGATCCCAAATTCACTTTTTGTGAACGGGGATCAGGTGGAACGGAGCAGAAGTCTCCAAACTCCGAATTGGGCCGTTTCCCAACGGGAGGAAAAAGACTCTTCGCATTGTTGTTTGTTTGCGAGAGTCCGTTGGAGCAGTGGGAAGACCTCGGCGTTCACAGGAGACTCGAACGGCGGGGGTGGACGTGGCTGAGGCCGGAGAGCTGGAGCGGGAGCTGCTGCCTTGCCGAAGAAAAGCGAGAGCGGAGCAGCCCGCGGAGGTGAGGTAAGCCGCGGAGACAGAGAGAGGGTGAAAGTTCACCATGGATGGAGATTTACAGGCTTCAGTGCGGCTGCTCTTTCATATTCTCTCAAAGAGAGCTGAAAAAGTTAAAGAAGCCGATTTAGAACAGTTGGTCATTTGGGCAAGAAGCAAAGGCAAGCTGCAAAAACCTTCCCTGCTTTTTAGTGAAACCGAGTGGCGAGAGCTGGGCCAGCTGCTCTGGGATGCAGTGATAGAGGGCAAAAAGGACAAGAAAACACTATTAGAGCTTGGAGGTGTTTGGAAGAAAGTTTCACATACCTTACAAAGCATGGCCGCGGAGAAAGAGGCAGCGGAAGCTGCCATTCGAGCATTCGAACAGTCTACAGCAGAACAAATAGAAACGCGAAAGCCATCGCGGGTTGAAAAATTCTTTAATGTTTGTAATATGCGGCCAGTGCGCGGGCAGAAAGCCCCAGTCAGCCCCTCTGTCAGGGATGTTGTCGCTCGTTTGGAGGGAGGTGCGGAGCCGGGCGGCGCGGGGCCGGCCGGCGCGAAACAAAGCAGGGATGTGGCTGCGCCCGGAGCGGAAGTGTGCTCACGAGCAGCGGATGTTAACAGCTCGGTGGTTTCGCGAAATGCGGCAGACCAGGAAGTGACCCTCCCGGGTCCCTTGGGAGGCGGGGAGACACCTGAGGAGGCAGGCGGAGTCGGTGACGAAACAGGGCTGAGTCAGGAGGAGGAACTCGGGGGCGGAGATCAAGGCAGAGACCAGGGCGGAGACGGGAGCGGGGCGGCGTCGGCCCCTCGCCCCCCCGCAGCAGCAGCGGCTGCGGCTGCCGCGGCTGCGTGCAAACGCAGAGGAGCGGCCCGCCGATACCCGCCGGCGGCAGCGGCCGCGGCCAGCAGCCTGGCGCGGTTTGGAGGGGCTGGACACCCCAATGCTAGCGGAGTGGCAGAAGTAGCCACCCAAACAACACCAGAGCAGAGCCCCGAAAATGCCAGTTCCCACCCCACCACCGTGGCGCGGCACTGCCCACTCCCACCGAATTCAGATTCTGACGACTCAGAGCCAGACTTTCCGGTTGTCAATTGCAGCAGGGACACGCGATCACAGAACAAGATACAAAGACCAAATACGTTACAGGAAAAAATAGCCCGCCTTGCCACCCTTTCAAATCGTCAGGCTCAACCAGTGGAACCTTCCACTGGACAGCAATTGGCATCGCCAGCAGTTTTAAAAAATCCCTTGCAGTCCCGATGGGCGTCGGTTGTGAAAGATGCTCTTTTAGACGGTGACTGGAAAGCTGCCAGCTCCCTGGTTTGTCCTGTCATAGTGTCTAATGGGAATGCCATCTGGGAGCCCCATGACTGGAAAATCCTACAGTCAGCTAAGCAGACAGTCACCACTTATGGGATCAGATCAGAAGCAGCCAGGAACATCA